AATTAGAAAACTATTCTAGATTTAAGATAATTGTAAGAAAAAAGAAAACGGGCAAGAAAATCCTTCTTAAAATATTTAATAAAATATACTTGAAGAAATTATATCTTCTTATAAGATTTTTTTCTCAATATTATTCTCATTACAAGAAAATTTTCTAATTTTAAGACAATTTCTTATATGAGAAATTTGTTCAAGAACTGCGAACTGTGTTTTTCTCATATTTGCCATCTATTTTCCTATTTTAAGAAAATATTTCCTATTTTAATAAAAAACAATTCTTGTATCCAAAAAAATGCACTACACTTCAAGAAAATTATTCTTGCCAAGTGTTCTTTGTTGATGCATTGTAATACAAAAAAAAATTATTTCTCATTTTAAGAAAACTTTCCTTGAATGAAATTAAAATTGTATGACTTTGGCCATAACACCAGAGGGCGCTGTTGGGGGAGTGGCCAACTGAAATTTAAAAGTGTATTGTTTCAGCTGTTAGGCCTGAACATTCACTTATCATTTCCATCATTTTTTTTCTGCCACAGTATGTTCAAATGTTAGTTTTTATTCATGTTTCAACTTAATTACATAGATTTAGGATGGCTATTTGTATGAACTTTATTGTTGAAGATGTTTAAGGACTGAAAAGATTGAAAGTTGTGTAAGTTTCAGATCGGTAGTTGCAAAGTTATGTGCATGTAAATACACGTGTAATACATGTATTGAACATTGCACACATAACCCACGCAGCGTGAGTGAGATAGCAATTCCTTTTCTTTTATAGAAAGTAACACATAAAGTGGAAGTCACTGATATGAAAATTGATTTTTAGAATTGTTAGAAGTTAATCTGAGTTTGGAGATTAGGCTCTGCCTGAGAAGTAAATCTAAGTTTGGAGATTATGCTCAAATTAAAGTAAGGTTTGAAGTTCAAACACCAATAAAAATAGTTATGACAGTGACAAATTTTTAAATAAAGTTGTTGGGTGAAAATACTATTATTGAAATGAGCAAACTATACAGGGTGATTAAAAAAGGTAAGCCTGAAACAAAGGATTTTATTTGTTAAATATGAACACAATGTCTTCATGGCATCCATTGCTGTTATGGATGAATGCATACCATTGCCTTGAAGTTAGCTTGCTAATTGTTTTTCTTGTAGAAGGAAAACAATTCTCATTAATTTGTACTAAGATTTATGATGTCTTTTCTTATGGAATCCGAGAAAACCTCAGCAGAAACAAGAAAAAAAAAACCAAGATTACAATTCCAACTAGGAGTTAATTGTCTTGATTCAAGAAAAGGAAAAAGGCTTTCTTGTGTCATTCCTAATCCTAGAAAATGGTAACAAGAAAGTTTTTCTTAAAATAAGAAACATACTGAGAAAAGTTTAGAAAAAAAAAATTCTTAATTTGACAAAAGTTAAGAAAGAAACAAGAAAATAAACTAGATTTGTTTTTTTGCAATATCAAGGGGTTATATTCTTGATTCAAGAAAAGGAAGAGGTTTTCTTGTGTCACTCCCTAGGAAATTGTAACAAGAAGAAAAAAATTCTTGCAGTTTTTCTTAAAATAAGAAACATAACTGAGAAAGTTTAGAATTTTTTTTCTTATTTTGACAAAAGTTAAGAATTTTTTTTTATCTTAAATCAAGAACATTAGGAAAAAAAACAGATAAAAAGTTTCTTAAAACAAGAATTGGCCTTTTAGAAATTTTTTCTTGTGTCACTCCCTAGAAAAAATAACTTGTTTTAAGTTTTTTTTTCTCAAAATAAGAAATATATTTTTGGCAGTGCATCGCCCAAATCTGACCAGCTTCATCCTAAAATAGGGTAAGATAACATGATACAAAGACAACACAATAAAGCCCAATTGTAGACAGGATCTTGTAGTACAAAGGTATTTTGTTATATTGAGTTCCTATTTAAATCTTACCTGAAAGCAGAGTTGTAATGATGCATACAGCTCTGGACATGAGGCGGTATCATGTTTTGGCCTTGCCTTGGCAGCTGCCACTCTTATTGTGTAACTGCTAAATTGTACAACAGCCAACTGTAAAACAAGCAGCAAAGAAACAAAAACTAAATATTTCCAGAGTCACACATATACAGGGTGTCTCACACACACAAAAACAAGCCCTCAACTTTAATTTTAAAAAAATACACAGCAAATATCTATACATATTTAGAGAGTATAATCCATTAGTTTTCCAACAACGTAAACGTCTTTCCAATCAGGTAAATATTGATTGAGTTATGGCCAATTGTAAGGAAGTACCGCTTTTTCATTTTTCCACGGCGACTGATATTTTGACAGCTACAATAAGAACACGGGCCGAAACTTGCATTTGAGAAGAAAGACTACCAAGTAGAGGGCAGAGACAACCACAAAAAGCAGCAAACTTAACATCTAAGAAGTTAATCTAACAGATCTTTTCAGGACTATACATTACTTCCAAAAGGACAAATGACTATTGTTGCAAAAATAAAATAATAAAATGAACAAAATAAATAAAGATTAAAACATTAGACAGAAAAACTTCCCTCACCCCAAATCCATTACATTCCTAACAAATGACAATTGAGATAGGATCAGATTGAAAAATCAGCACTTATTTCGACGCTTTGTTTCGCCGATGTAGTGGAAACCGCATAGTTGGCAGGAGATACAATATACAACGTTGGTAGATACACAAGTGAATTGTCCACTGGGTGTATAACTGCTCTACAGGAGGTACATAGATGACATAGTTGGTGTAACATCATCCACAAGGGAGGAAATTAACAACTTCATTGAATTTGTTTGCAAATATCATCCTGCCCTGCAATTCACCTCAGAGACCACACTCTACTTCCTCGACATTCAACTTCGGATTGATGGTGAATGGTTGGTAACCTCCATGTTCTACAAGCCAACTGACTCCCACAGCTGCCTGCAATACGACTTATACTACATGTACTGTGTGCATCACCTTGATTTGGACTATTACCCTACGTGTAAACCCTACCTGTGTGTGGCAGTTCGTACACACAAAAGAGACCCTATTGTTGACAACCATTCATCCGTGAAAACAATCCAACAGTAAAAAGCATTTGCTACCTGTTGTCTAGTAATTGCTGAACAGTAAAGGAAAACTTGTATTCATGTGGAATCAAGCATTTGCTTTTCCTTAATGCTTTTACTCCAAAGTAAATGCTTTTACTTTTTGCTTAAGCTTCCTAGCATTTGCTAGTTTTTATTAATACGACCCAATTGGGTCGTATGTATAAAAACTAGCATTTGCTTTTACTACCTATTTTTAAGCATTTACTTGCATTTGTATGAATAAAAATGAAGCAAATGCTTTTACAAGAAAGCATTTGCTGAAAGCTAAAAGTATTTACTTTTTACTTGTTAGCTTTTGCTAGACTAGAAGTGTTTACTTCATTTCGTATGAATAAAAAGGAGTAAATGCTTCAGATTTCAAGAATTTACTAGTCATTTTTCAAGGCTGGGTTGGGGCAGCCTTGAAAATATAAAGCAAATACTTCTGCGCAAAAACTGCTGCATTTATTAATATTAATCGCCCCAAATTAACAAAAAAACGTTAATAAACTACATATAATACCATACACTGTATTTTGACTAACATTTATGCGCAATTTAAATACTTTTTTATTATTTATTTTATTACTAGAAGAAACGATAATTGTGCATTTTGTTCACGATATGAGTGTTAGCGTAAAATTCAGTGCGGCATAGAATGATTAAAGATAAATTTTATCCAACGGCACCCTAGGGACTGAACAAAATGAAATCATTTGTTTAGTTTATTAGGTCACCAATCTTTGCAAACTAATATTTTTTTTATATTTTAATAAACAAAACTCTTTGTATATTGAATGTTGGTATGATTTTACCCGCTTTAACACGTGTGTGATTTTTATGCAATTGTGATGTCTACAGGACACTGTGCACCTGTACAATTTTCATGAACGATGAAAGTATACATTTTGCATTCTGGAACTGCCGAAAAGTGTCATGATTTTTGCTGGATTTGAGGAGTATGTACAAATGTATGTACTAAACCCTCCGTGTCTGTGTGTGGCAGTTCGTACACACGAAAGAAACCCTATTGTTGGCAATCATTCGTCCATGAAAACAATCCAACAGAAAGAAGCATTTGCTGCCTGTTGTCTAGTAAATGCTGAACAGTGAAAGGAAAACTTTTATTCATACAAAATCAAGCATTTGCTTTTCCTTAATGCTTGTACTCCAAAGTAAATGCTTTTACTTTTTGCTTAAACTTCCTAGCATTTACTAGTTTTGTAAAAAACGACCCATTAATTCCTTTGGCAAAAAGCAGCACAGCTAAAAAAAAAAATTCTCCCACACAAGAACCCTTTGAATGAAGGTGATGGGGTGGAAGTGGGCAATTTAAAAGTAAATCTCTCCCATTGTTAATTTCTCCCATTGGGCTGTGACAAAGTGAGCCTTAAGTTGCACTTTCTTTACCCACTAAAACCAGCCAGCAGAATAAGAAGTTGCCCCATTGGCTGAAAGTCTTATGTAACATAAGTTGTCACTGGTCAAAACTTATAAGCTGATTGGCTGACACAGTATGCAAACAGCACTGGATCCTGTTTACAATCCTGTGTTTTTAAGTACTATACAGACATGAAAAAGTTTCCCACATTAGGAGCTGATACTGTGCAGAATCTTCTAATTTCCACCCGATTTGTAACGCCATTTGTGCAAGAAAACCTTTACCCATCCACACACACACAGACCTTCACAGTGTACTGCCACCAAATTATTGATTTTCAGTTAGGCAAAAGCAACACAGTAAAGATACAAGAGTTTTCTACAATCCCGGCCAAAATGGTTGGGACACGTGACGACAAGCACACCCTCCCCCAGTCCCCCACTCCCCCGTGTCAATGTTGTTATCTCCAGCTGGAGCACAGACCGCGCAATGAGAGACAAGATTGACCGGGGGCCGGGGGCCCAGCGAGATTTGGCCAGGATTGTAGGTCACAAAGTGCAATGTCCTTTTGTGAAGTGAAACTTCATTCTCATAGCTTACATACCCGGTAATGCATATTCATGAAAAAGTTTGCCACCTCAGCAGCTGATTGGCGGCTCATGACAGCTCAGGATCCTGTGTTGGTACAAACTTTGCAATGGAATTTTGTGCAGTGAATCTTTACACATGTATACAAAGGCATGCGCACACATGCATGAGTGTTTGCAAATAGTAGAATTCTACAATGAGACTTCAATATCGAAGATCCGAAGTAAACTGTATGCATCACAGCTAATCTCTCATTGTGAACTGTATACGCAGCAGTTAATTAATTTGATGTGGCAATTTCCTAGGCATTATTTCAAACGAGTAATTTAACCAACAGAAAAATTCTGGGAATAAAGCATTTGATCATTTATTGATAAAATGTCTCAAAATCAAGATTAATTGAAAGAAAGATTGACAATGGTAAAGCCTAATTGTTGAATGAGATTAATCAGATTTTAAGTTAAATATGGGGGGGGGGGGGAATATGACCATTATTGTTGTGAATTTACGGTTGGTGAAAAACATACTTTTTCTATATTAAACGAAGTTGGGCAGAATGAGCTGAAAATTTGGTAACAACCTACATGATTAAACTACCTATATTTTAGAACTACTAGCAGGAGGCACCCGCTAGCTGGGTGCTGTCGTAAAGTTTGTATTGTTTACAGGTTTAAAAAAAGTTGTCAGTGGAAAAAAGAAATGAGGATTGAGGTACGTAAATAACCAAAATCTAGGGTAAATCGGCCAGGGTTACTTGATACTATTGTAACGTCGACCAGATCTTGCATTTTTACACGTCAGACGAAGGAAACCACAGACACTATTCTTCAGGGTTTCGGGGCTCTAGGCCGTTTATTCTTGCCACTTTCTTTACAGGAGGCTCTCTCTTTATACAACTCACAACAAAAGGAACGCTATACAAAATGTCACACTACTGAGTCGGCACAGTCTGGCAACAGGTCTCCCTGCCCAAGCGCAGGGGTCCTGATGCTACGGTTGAACCTTGGGTCCGTGCTGGCTCCCTCTGCCGGTGGCCCGGCACCGACGTTACACTATCATCTGACTGTCTGACTAGACAGACATTTTCTTTATTGTCTGTCTCTGATAAATCCCCCGAAATATCGGAATTCCCGTGAAGCACATCAGCTACAGAGAGCCTACCTTTGCAATGAGCACCGGCTTTTGAAAACCGGAAGTGGGAAGTCAACTGTTTTGAGAGAAAACGTGACAAATTTATCAACGAAACTAATTCTACCTCCATGATTCATCATAACGCTGCTGACAGTGCGCTCTCAACTAATGTAACATAGTCATGTTTTGAAATGCATTATTCATAATTGTATGATCAACGTACAGTTTTGCGACCTTTTTTAATCATCATAAATAATCATACATAACGTTATGTTTTGCGTACTAGCGTGTGTGAACTTGTTTTAGAGTGTTTTCAAAGAGATAATGTTGTAATATTTTAAGTATTGAAAGTCTAAAAGAAAGAAATTTGCCAAAAGGCAAAGCAAAAAGAATAAATCTTTTTTTCACGTCCCAAACTGTGATTTCAAAGGTGGTCCAATGGGGTCATATACTATTTTAGCACTGCGTATACATGTACTGGATGCATCTTTCATCAGACATCATGTGTGCAGCGCCTAGCATACTCCTCATGAATCTTAAATCAGACATCATGTGTCACCGCACACTTCCGATTGTGTGACCGCCTCTTCCGTGACACACAGACATCAGACAGACAGACATCGTAGGATCTTTCAATATAGGATGGTTCTCTTGATTATTGGAAATAGTCAGGAACACTAAAAAAATGATGTCTATTCCAAATGACCTGGTCATGAAAAATTTCTGAAAGTGCGTGTATGACATGCATGCGCTGTCCTCATTGGTCAAATCCCCAAACAACGTTGCAGTTTGACTAATCACGCACCGCGACACTCAGCACTGGGGTGCCTTTGAATGTCAGGTACCTTGCTCCACACGGGCTTATATTAAATTAAGCAAATGCGGACTAAAGGCGCCTGACTAGATAATAAGCTGGTTGCCTATCCTCTTGAACAGGGAAGTAAAACAATGTCCGGAAAGACATTTTAAAAGACTTCAAATCACAAATATTAATCAGGCATTGTTTTCTTGTATTTTTTCGCTCTATTGTTTTCGTGGGACAAATGTAATGTCCACCATGCTATTTCTAGAGCCTGGAATGGAAAGTTGGGGCTGGGGTTTGAAATCACTGTGATTGTTTTCTGTTACTAGGCTAGGAAGAATATTTCTATTGATTTTCCTTTTGTTGGGTTGGAAGTGATAAAAGTGGAAACTGTTTTCTTTTCCCTTTTATTCTTTGACAAGTTTGGCCAGAAAATAAAATAAATATACACACAACGCTTTTTTGTCTAGAGTCAGAAATTGAAGGTGGTTATTACTCTCAATTTGTGCATGTAGAAACAGATTCCTATAGGTTAGTTTCAATTAATGTGTGGTTGAAATTGATTATTATAATAACAAGAAAAGTAGTGTTAAAAAACACAAATGGCTACTGCACTTGTGACGTTCACTCGTTCAGGGACGCACATCATACAAGTGTAGCTTGAAATTTCCAGCATTACTGCACAATGACATCATTGGCGTGACATGGGGAGATTGGCCAGTAGCACTGGAACGAAGCCCCTGACTCAGACGGCGGTTTTTGCTTTTTGCCGATGTTTCCAATTATCGTTCAAATAAAAAGTCACCTATATGACTGTAGATTTATCCTTATTGCAGCAGAGGATCCATGCAAAATGAAAAAAGAATCAAGCCGAACAAGATAAAAAGAGACATTTTTGGTGCAACTTCGGGTGTGTACAAAAAAATCCTTGGTTCATTAATGTACACGTACACACCTGCAGCGCATCATAAGGGGGGGGGGACCAAATCGCATCCGAGGATCATTCACAACAGCCAATTACAGGGCCGTATCATATTATTAATGCCAATTAATAAATACCTTGGAGAGTTGATGGTTTCTGATTGGTCGAGACTCGATCACGTGGCCGGTCATTAACGGTGATAATGGACCGGCTTCAAAGATCAAGCGAATAAATGGCCCCTGAACCAGCATTGATCAAGCCCCGTTAAGCCCCATGCAAGCCAATGATTGGTCAAAATATAGTAACGGTCCTGCGGTAGCTTTTAACAATTGAGCACTGCACATGCGCTCAACCCCCATCGCGTGAGACTGACGCGCGCGTACGCAACACAGTTGCTAGGGATGCGTGCGTGCGCGCGCGTAAGGAAGTTTTGAAACGACATCGTACAGCAGTGCAGTATATACTGAGGATGTTTACGACGAAAGCGTAGATCTACGATTTATTTTCTTTTGAAACACTTCACCCACCGACATATTTACCTTTCCTAAACCAAGCATCTTTGTAATTCCGGACACAAGGAATGTGTAAACAAGATTTCAGCTTCCTCCATCAGGTAAAGATATGAAAACATTGTTGTAATTTGTTTCGCTACGGCAGCAGTTTCTGTTGAGATTACGTCGTTATAGCTGTTAAGCTAAAATATGGCCCATGAACATGAACACAAAAAAGTCTGGAAATATCGCCGGAAAAAAGTCACAAAATTGGAGCATTTTAACTGTTTATTTCGTTATAAAGGTATTTATTAATGGGAATAACAGTGTGAGGATCCGGTCTTCACTGCGTGATAATGACCGGGTGTGGGGGTGACCGCTGTTAATGGACCTCGACTTCGTCTCGGTCCATTAACAGCGGTCACCCCCACACCCGGTCATTATCACGCAGTGAAGACCGGCTCCTCACACTGTTATTCCCTTAGTAGAACATCCAACAGCCCTTGGTCTACGGACTGTACTGTGTATGTCGAATGTAATACTGACCCAGCAGTAGTTATATGTACTACTCGGCATAAATAATCGAGGCGCCCTGTGATTGGCTGTTCTGATCCTCGGATGTGATTTTGTCCCCGCATATTATACTGCCACAGCGCTTCGCTCGTACCCCCTGCCCTGCAAAGCAAAGATCCTATAGCGCTATAGGATCTTTGCTGCAAACAGGATGCTGGGATACGCTGATGAGCTTCACAGAATCTTGTGAAGGAAGTGGCCTATGACCTATGTATAAAGCATCTGGCTGCAGCTGTTTGAGACCGCAGTTAGCTGTGTGCGCAAATGCTATCCGAAAACTTTCCCTTAGAAATGCGCACATTCCATACCGGATGTGATTTCTGATTCATTGCAGACCATGTGGACAAATTTGGCTATCTGACCCATCGTGAATTCGAAATGGAGCCAAAGCAAGTGACGAGAATTGAAAATTTTCAAAACAGATACCTTATACACATTTTCCAACATCATTACAATTTTCAGCGAAATAAAAAGCTTTTATGAATGGGAATAAAATAGTGATGACTCAGTCTTAACGACTGTTTTAAACCTTGCCGAGTCGTGGCCGTGATGACGTTGCAGGTCACAGGTCACGTAAAATCTATCCAAAAGAGCGTGAATTCAACAGCGTATCCCAGCGTCCTGTTTGCAGGGCGGGGAGTACGAGCGAACCTCAGCACAGGCTAGGCGAAGATGCTACGTACGTGAGTACGTTCAATGCAACCATTACCAGTGTTCATTCGTGCGTATGCTTTCGTTTCACGGAACCCATTGCAGCAGATTCTTGAAGGTTTGAGCTGGCCTCGACTGATTCGCTGAGGCCGGAAGGTTCCGAGGCCGAGGGCCAAGGCCAAGGCCGAGGCCATGAAAATCGACCGAGGCCGGCCTCGAGACCTCCAACACCGGTTAAAGTGGTCAGAAATTGTCTCAGATCGCACCACAGAGCATGTAATATCCATTTCTTGATCCACCATTGCTTTCACAATAACTTTTAATGAATTTTACAAAGTGGGAAATCATAGATGTCCTCTTTATAATCAACTGAAAAACAAGTATTAAAAACATCAAAAAATTGTGAGAGGAAATTGCTCTAGGCCTACACTGTTTAAAAGCGTAAAATGCACACAGAGATTAATTTTTTTCCCTAGACTTTTCTGGTGTGTAGCTGGAGTGGATGGAGAGACGCAACACTTGGAAATGATGAAGGAGAAAGCAAGTAAGGTATGAAATTGCTGCAGACTGACTGAGGAGATATTGGAAGAGCATGGGTGGGAAACACCTTTCGAGAAAACCCAATACACCTACAAAAAAAATCATTTTCTTCCTCGTCTCCATCCAAGTATATTTTATATCGAGACAGCTTCATCTTTACGGCTGACTTGGATGGCATCTTGTGGCGTCTCACTTGTCTTGATGAAGCTTGCAGAATCCTTTGGAGACTTGGCAGTAGGTGGCATTTTTGAAGGCGGGGGCATCTGGGGGATTCAGGGTGTTGATGAGGGTCTACCACTTCAAGTGGAGCACACGGAGGTGGCACTTCAGCATGTTCAGGCTGACATTCGATGCATCTGCGCCTGGTCATCAGCTTTACAAAATAAAGAACAACATTTATATACATAAAAAAAATTGTTGTGATATACCTTCCTTGACTTTAATAGTCTTACATCCTATACAATCATTAAGACTGCTTTGTTCTCCCTTTAACCAAAAAAATGAAAATTGTGTGTCATTCTGATGGTTTGGCCAAACTGATGTTTGAAAAACCAGCTTTGTCAAATATAACCCCCAACTGACAGAATTCAGATAAACCACATTTTGCATGCATATAGATTACATGTCTGTAAATTGGCACAAGCTAGCATGTGTTAAATCATTTAATTTAGTCTGAATCCCAGGCATCCATAAAACACCATCTTACAGCAGGAAATCAAATCTTATCTGGGTTGATGCATGGGTATTTGTCTCTGGCTGTCTGCAACAGTTTGTTGTGCAGCTTCAGGAAGGATGTAAAAACTCCTTCCACAAGTCATTCGTGTCAATATGGAGAACGTACAGGGTTTAAAAAAAAAAAACAGAACCCCAAAAAATATATTTCATAATTAAAAAATATGTAGCACCAAAAATAATAATGACTGGAAAGCCAATTTCAGAAACTACTTTTAGATGAAAAAATTACTGAAATTGCTCAATCCGTTCAAAGAATATCACCATTTTTTGACTCACCCTGTACAAGATGCGGCTCATCACTAAAAGTGAAATGTCTTGAGCAAGGTTTCGCGAGACGCAAAATGGTGCTCTCTGGTTTTGTAATAATTCTGGAACAAACAAGTCGAGATAATGGGGCGGGAATCTGGTAATCGAATCTCCAAAAATCTTCACGCGAAACCCTGGTTTCCTTAGTACAGTAAGTACTAAGCAGTCCGGTCATGCTAATAAGCGTCAACAAGCATCAACAAACACGATTAGTGCCAACAAAACATAAACGAGCTCAAAATGTACTTTTGAGCTTCAAAAAAGCTATAATCATATTCAATAGACTTTCATACTTGTATTACGTAAGAAATAGGAGAAATTCACGTTCACAATCCCACAAAAAAAAAGGATCTTTTAGCTCAACAATTTACGGTCCTTTTTTTTCGGCGGCAATTTGTTTTGCACATGGTTTTGCACATAACATATCCCAGAAAAACAGGATAGCGGTCAGTTTCGCTGAAAAAACGGCACCATTGTTGCACTTTTTTGCCTAAAGGTAAACTTTTAAACATAATTTTAAATATTGTTATACGTTGGAAAAAAAAATTTAATTAGGAGCCCACTGAGAACTGTGAACATCTTTTTTTTCAACTTAAAAATATGTGTACAACTTGTTGACGCTTGTGGACGCTTTAATAGCACAACCCAACTTTCCAAGGACACTGCTGATTGCCACTGAAAAATACACACTTGTGCATAAGCAAATCAAAACAGAGGAAGATCTCTTTATTTACCAGACTGTGGTTCAATGGCTTCTACATTCAGCTGGCATGAATACTTAACAATTGTTGACTGCTGTGATGTGGGATATGACGTTTTGAACACCCAAAGGGTGCATATATAGCACCCGAGGCGAAGTCCCTCGGGTGTTCAAAACGCCATATCCCACATCACAGCAGTCAACAATTGTTGTGTTATACCTCTGTCTTGGATTCATTGGATTTTGATGTAAAAATCACAAAAACAAACGGCAGTAAATACAACAATCACGACAATCGAACGGCAACTCACATGCATGTCGCATGCTTGAAACAGCTGATCGTCTGCTAGTTCGCTGCCCACACTCATGTGTGAAAAAATAGTGTGGGTACCAATGAAACAAGCATTTCACACCGTACGTGCCGTATATGTACAAAGTCATAGCACACCCCCTGTGGGATATCACGTACATGATATCCCAAAGGGAGTGTGCCACGACTTTTTATAAACTTAACGCGTGATCGTTCTCTAGGCCAATGAAAATTAACACAGTATTCAAGATGGAGGTATAACAATAACATTTGTCCTCTTCAAAGTGTTACCAACAAAAAGGAAAGGACAGACTCTCCAATAACTCAATGAGTGTTTTCCTTACAAATTCATAGATTTTTTTTACATAAACCATATTTTTATTGTTAATTTTTTTTTGGGGGGGGGGGAAATGTTTGTAACATACATTGTATCATGACTCCCAAAAACTGTTTCATGCAGATAACCTACATTGTAAACTAACCGTCTGATTTTAAAATGGACCAACTTGACCTGCAAGTGCAACCATTTATTACACGTAGGCTACATGTGTACATGTATGTCTTGTGTACTTGATGAGGTAGTCGTGTAGTTTAGGACCCCGTTCCCATATAAGAGAATGAAAAGACACTTTGTGTTTTGGAACTTAATACTTAAACATTTGGCAGCGGTACAAGCGGGAAAAGTCACTTTATGTGTTTGGAATCATCTAAATAGATCGCTAAGACACCATGTTGAATATCAGCTTGCTTAATTGTGTGGAAAGAGGGCAGGGTTGTGATTTTTGAACGGACTTGTAAAACATTAGAGGTGTCCTAAACTACATGATTTCCATTGATGTACATGTAGGCCTATGTGCATGTATGTGAGGAAGCGCCAGCACAAGACTAAGGGGGAAAAAATGACAAATCGGTTCACAGTACTAGGCCCAAACTCTGTAAAGCAAATGTACAAGAACCACTGATACAATCTTATTTCATTTCAAGATTCCAGCAAAGGACACATTTTGTCCAAAGTTATCTCGAAACAGTTCGGATCACTCAAAACATGCAAGTTGTGTTAAAACAAACTGTTTATATTCCATACCTTATTTCACTAGCCTAATTAATAACCTTTACAACGAAATAATCATAAAAATAAATGGTATTATTAAAAAAAAAAAATTCTCACTTACCACTCACTGCCTCGCAAATGGGTTTCTCGTCTATTTTCAAGGGGCACTACTGACGCTTGAAAAACCTCATGGATTCTCAAAGAGTCAAAGACCGTCAACTCGTTGCAAATTAAACTTTGCCGTGTGCCTTATCATCTAGCACGCTGCGCGCTGACTCTACAGGCTGTTGAAAAATGTACCTTTAAGATGACGTCACATGACAGGTGATGATGTCATCATGACGTCACTTGTCCCTGCACGACTTACCATGGGGTCTTAGTGTATGACAAGTTTCATCAAGATTAAAGTCTGTTTATTGCCAAAACTGACCCTGAAAATGAAACATGTACAGAGTCTATGGGTTTGGGATAGAAGAACAATGGAACAAATCAGAAGAAAAACCAAACCTATGAAGCCCGGGAAGGGACAGAGTGGAATTTCCTAATTCGTTCTCATGAATTTCTAACTCGTTCGCACGAATTGCTAACTCGTTCCCACAAATTGCTAATTCGTTTGCACGAATTGCTAATTTGTTCGCATGAATTGTTTTTCGTTCGCACGAATTGCTATTTCGTTCCCACAAATTGCTAATACGTTCGCACGAATTGCTAACTCATTCGCACGAATTGCTAACTCATTCGCACGAATTGCTATTTCGTTCCCACGAATTGCTAACTCGTTCCCACGAATTGCTAACTCGTTCCCATGAATTGCTAATTCGTTCGCTTGAATTGTTATTTCGTTCGCACGAATTGCTATTTCGTTCCCACGAATTGCTAATTCGTTTGCACAAATTTTTATTTCGTTCGCATGAATTGCTATTTCGTTCGCACGAATTGCTATTTCGTTCACACGAATTACCAACTCGTTTCCAAGAATTACTAACGCGTTCCCAGATCCACAAGTTATAGTTGAGTATGTATGGGGATTGAACCCCCGTGCACCCCCCCCCCCCCCCCCCACCTGGCCCCAGAACTAACTTTCACCAATTCTTTTGGTGCCTTGTAGGGTCCTAAAACACATATTGGATGTTAACAGTAAAAAATATTGGTAAAAAATGGAAAAAGTCACATATCAGCCTAATAATATGATAAAATCATGAGTGAAATTGTTAGTTATATGTTTTGTACCCTCACAAATTCATTTCTGGTATCGTTTTTTTGGCTATCATGCTTCAAATGTCCGCCATCTTGGATTTGAAGCATGATAGGAAAAAAAGGATACCAGAAATGAGTTTCTGAGGGTCTAAAACATATAACTAACCAATTTATTTATGCTTTTCGTCGCGTATCTGACGAACCAACGAATACGCGCAAATGCGCGGAAACACCATTCTGAGAAAAACACGTTTAAAGTTTAACACTTTTTACGTGTCCATTTTCGATGCCACTTTTCCGCTTGTTTACATTCTTAATTAATGCAAGGTAGTTAGTTGTTTGTTTAAGTACATCTATTACTTTGTTTTTTGCTTGTAAGAGTAAAGGTTTGTCTAATTCTTGCTGTGAAACTTATTTGTCACTTCGCGAGATTTATTCGCCAAGTAAAAGTCTAAGATAACATTTTGATTGTGCACGCGTTTTCGCATCACCAATCAATGGCATATTCGTCACTTCTTTACAATGCTAAATACGCACATTTTCAAAGAAATGTTTATGTTTTACAAACTTTTTCTATATTTTCTAAGGAAAACCATATGGTAATGCTTGAACCCCACGTTCAAATCCAAGTACTCGCTATTATATAAAGTAGCGTAATTATATACAAACAAGTCAGGTGTGTTTACAAACACAAATGCCCTGCAACCGTGACTGTTCCCATGACATAACACCACTCTTTAACATCAACTTACATGTACATGTAATTGTCACATGGAACGTTCATTGACATCATTAGTGTTTTCTGTAGGTTTTATATGAATTAATCCCTATTATCTCAGAATAAATACAAGATTTCTTTTGTTTTAGCCACTGTGACCTTGACCCTTGACCTTTCAGCCCCCAATGCAATAAGTTTCTTAGGATTACCAAGAACGATCCACAAACCAAATTTGAAGTTCATATGTTAAGTATTTCTCAAGTTATCGCGCTGACAAGATTTGTCCGGCAACACACACACACAGTCGTTTTTTGCTATGCTTCCCGAGGATTTGTGTTTTCCTTTGTTCCCTGATCTAAACCTTTCCCATAGACTAAGCGCACAATCCTTCATTCGAGGACAATAGGCACCGTCGTTCGAGGATGAAAGGCCCCTTTGTGCTCCTTTTGTTGTCTGTCCTCGAGCGTAATACAATACAGGAACACATGTGTGTAAATGCCAGCAATCGTGGACGCCCCATTGTCCATAATCCTCTTTCCTTTGTTTGTACTCTTTGGCGACAGCTCTCATTGGTTTTGTACATGATTTGAGATCATGGACATTCGGTCAATCGTGGACGTATTGTTTGCACCCCAATTCTTTTGGCCTACGTCCACGATTGCCAGTGTTTACATACTCGCGCTTACATAGGCATAGAAGTGGGGTACTTCCTTTGTTCTCGTGTACTAAAATTTGCAAGGTCGCACACTTATGTCAAAATGCTCTTATTTTGACCATAGTTAATTTCCTGGGCTGAAATTCAGTCTTAATATCCCTTTTCAGAAACTCTTCCATTTGCGACGGATCAACCCACCTTGGACATTCCTTGTTTTTGAGTAAAATCCATATATCTATTTCGTGAAAAACTTGTGGGGTACCAAAACGGTACCCCGCAAGTCGGTGGGCATTCCTTGTGGGGTACCTCCCATTGTTCCGGTACCCCACAAGGCAGTGTTTGTACACGCACACACACACACCCACGCACACCCACCCATGTTTGTTTTACATACGCTATGTGGACATTCCTTTGTTTTCGTGTAGTTAAGAAAACTCGGTACAAAAAATAACTTTACTTTAACTGTGAAAACTCTTTCAACCCAATTTTTTTTTCTATGATTCCCTTTAGTGTTTCTCTTCATTTTGCCACGGATAAACTTAACCCAAAAATGCCTCTAAACCTGTTTTCCAGAGAGGGCGAAATGTTATGTGGACATGGCTTAGTCCACATAACATCAACACAACCTGCTTTATGTGGACGTCTTTTGTTCACAAGTCCACATAGTGAATGTAAGACAAACTCACACACCCAGTCGTGTTTTACTATACTCTCGAGGACAATGCTTTGTCTTTTCCTTTGTCCCTGTAATATAACACTCTCCCATAGACTAAGCACACAAACGCACGACCAAGGACCGATTTCAACAAAAGATGAACTCTCGAGGACAACAAAGAATCTGTTGTTCTTCCTTTGTCTGTCTGTCCTCAGGGTGTATATACATGTAGTTCACGTACACACCCACACACCCACCCACGGAAGGACAAGGCGGAAACAGTATGCCCCTTTGGCTTCGCCGCGGGGTATACAAAAAGTTATTATAAAGGAAAATATCTCGAATGGACGCAACAAAATAATAGGGAAACAAATATGTAAATGCAAACTAACAACGAACAACACTATTTATTCATTCATTCATTAAAAGACAGCAATTGTTTTAAAAACAATCATAGTTTTGTTTCATAATCCCATACTTTTTATCTTCCCAGGCATAATAATCGCAGTGCAGGCTTATTACCATTAGACATTTTGCTATAATTAGCCGCTTAAAGGGC